ATTTTCCCCAAAGCACAATATAAGGACCGACTAGCACGAAATGAAGCTGTCAGAAGGATAGTTGAAATTATGAAGAAAACAGTTCCTAATTTTGACGAAACCTCGGCAAAAGCAAAAATACGAAGTATACAATTTAATACCATAAAGTTTAAAATTCATGCAGAAGTGGAGGATCAACTGAGGATGCGTATAAACCCACAGTACCATGGTATGGCAAAAATTTTAAAGTTGCTTGCAGTTTTTTTTTTGCAGGCATCTCTCATATGCGTATGTTGTTTTTGTATTTTAGAGGATATTTGCCTCAAAGAAAACATGAAACTGTCTTCAGTCATTGTTAAATGATTAAAACATGCTTCCTGGTCTTCATGGCATAATTCTCTAATTAAAGTACTAAGCTAACTAGACGCACCTAGGTTATTTCTACGTGCAATTCACGATCTAACCCAGCAACTATGTTTTCGCTTTTTTTTGTTAATAATGTGTCCAGTTCCAAGGAGCACATTTGGACTACCACATTGATGCTAGCGCAAAGTACATCACTTGACGCCATTTTTATTACAGTGCCAGTACACAATTATAACATTTATGTGGAAACAACTTCTGGCGGCAGCTAATTGGCGCCACTAAACTGGCTTCGTACTGGCGCCAGTAATCCGTGCATGTAGAAACTTAGCTTTACTGGCGTGCAAATAGAACTGGCGCCACTAAATCCATGCATGTCTATCTTTAGCAAAATTTGGGAACATAACATCGTTATGGACTTTAAACAGCCGTATGTTCATCAGAATATAGAGGTTGAAATGGTGAAAATGGGGTAAAGGAGACTTTCAAAAAGGGCACTCAAACCATGCAGGACACCATTGGGGAAGCCACGAAATCGCTGGAAAGACGCAGTGAGCTATGACGTACAGGATCTTCTGATCCTTTGGAGTTAGAGAAGAGCAGCGTTTGATAGGGTGCGTGGGGGTAAAGGTTGAAGAAGACTAAGGTCTGACCTGAATTGCAGAGCTATATAAGAAGAAGAAATTGCCACAATGTCCTACGTATTGAAGAAGAAGGCGTTGCTGCTGTTATCATCGATACGTCTGGAGGGCGAAAACAAGAAGGCAGATGAAACGCCAGAAATAATTGAATATTATTAGCGCCTGTTGGCATGTTGGTCGCAAACTAGAAGATGGACCTTGAGTATATTTTTGTCATTTCTAAAGAAAACTGTTGGGAAAAATATGCATTTCTAAGGCTCGTTACTACCATCTTCTGGTTAAGCTATCTAAGGGATTATTACCATGGTTACGGCTATTTTACGCGCTCTCATTGGCTAGTAGATGGGTTTATCTATTAGATAAATTTAACTAAAAGATGGTAGTAACGAGCCTAAGAGCTGGATTTATCTATCGGATAAATTTATCAAGAGGTAAAAAAAAAGGTGGTAAAAATGGACCCGAGTCTGTAAAAGTAGAAGATATAGTAGACATATAAAATGTAGAAATAAAGGGCTATAATAATAATAATAATGGAATTTCATTAAAACAAATCAAATAATTTAAATATTTATTAATTAATAATTACATTAAATAATAACTATCTATATATATATATATTTTTTTTTGACTAGTGTCTCAACACTTTTTCCGCAGTCAAATCTTGGCACGTGACATCTTTATTTATTTATTCCTGCAAAAATTGACTAAAACACAAAACGTTCGAAACGCCTTGTTTTGTTAATTTGATTCTTCAACGCTGATTTTCCTCAACAATCCCCAAAACTTGGCGAGTAATCTTTTTAATGGTCACATGGGAGTTGTCGGAGTAAGCCAAGTGCTTTAACAGAAGTATCCCATTTTCTTCAGATAACATTTTGCAATATCTCGTTGCTAAAATTAATTAATTATTTTTTTTATTCAAAATTAATTTAATAAACGTACGATTTTTGTTGCAAACGTGGTAAATCGCCCAAACAGCCCATAACTGCACCTGATAATCAACTCGATCCTCCAAAAGCGGGAAAAACGGCTTAAATCTTCGATAAGCAACCATCTCGCATTCGGGTAAACTCCACTCGTTTATAGCCTCTTCGAGTTGCGACAACATCTCTTTCCTCTTATACATTTTAACCCCCCAATTCTCTTCGCCATCGGACGCTAAATGCGCGATTATTCCCGCGGCGAAATAACTAACATCAATGTACTCGGAGCGCAACAAAAAATACAATTCATTTATTAATTCTTCGATGAACAAATTTTTGCGCAAATACTCCACTTCGGCTATATTATTTAAAAGCCCCAAAACGCGCGTTTCTATCGTACTATCATTTTTGAACGTTTTCAACACTTTAAGAAATAAATTAGCCCCTCCGTGTTCCAAAAAAACGCAACAAGTAGCCGCGCTTTCATCGGTTAAATTCCATAAAGCAGATAAAGTAAATTTTAACGTGATATCGGATTGTTTGAGTTCAACCCGATTCTCAACCATCGCTAACAAATTCGACATATAAAGGGGTTTTGCCCCTAATTGCGAGGTTTGCTCCGTTGAGATCTTCGCGGCTAAAATACTACAAATCGCGACGGCCATCCGCTTAATATCGGCTTCGTCGAAAGAACACAACGCGTCTAAAACTAAGTGGGCGCATCGAAATCGATCGATATTAACCTCTTGTAAAATCCGGTCGCTACATAAATTTAATAAAGAATTTTTTTGTAATTGGTATTCATCGTGGAATTGGGTCATCGCGTCTAAAATTAATAAAACTCCTCTCGCGAGGAGACTCGGGTGGATTTTCTTTGCTAAATCAGCTCGAGTTAAGTTGTATAAACAAGCGGTTCCCGCGACTTGAACTCCGAATTTCGTCGAGTGTCGTTTCATCGCCGCTAAAACTTGTTGGATCATATCCGGGCGGGGGCCTTCGAACCCTGAGGTTAACTGAAATAAATGGTACAAAGCTTTTTGGACGAAATAAGCTTTATCTTCGTATAAAATTAAAGTGCGGGAGATTTGCTCGTCGCTTCCTAACCCGGCGATTAAAAATTTTCTCTTAATTGTATCGTTATTACTATTAAAATAAGGATCGTTCGCAATCGGGTTTGTAACTAAGCCGAGGCACTCTAATTTGCGGTGAGATTGAATGAATTTGATTAAAACGTCTTTTTCGGATGGGTTTTTCCAGCCGGATATATCCAAAAGATATAGGTCGGGTAAAACTTCCGGGTTTGATAAAATTCTTTTCACGATGTTGTCCCCAACGTGCTCCGATTTTTTATTTATTAAGCTCAAATCGAGGTGTTTCAAACGGGTCAAATTAATTATGTGGTTGGCGTTCGGTGGGCATAAATCTAGATCCTAAAAGATAAGAAATTTAAATGATTATTAACAAGAAAATTTAAATTTTATATTAAAACGTTTGGATATTAAAAGAATCAAAAAATAGGAAGCAAGCAGTCTCGGCGCAATCAAAAGAAACAATGGGGTTAAGGAATTAGGCCGAAGTCGCTTACAGCCGAGGAAATAGGTTCTTTTAAAAAAAATTCTGGATTAACGAAACAAGCCGAGGTCGCTTGCGGCCGTAGCATTACAATTTATATCATATAAACCCAAATCCCTATAATATATTTATATAGCAATGCTTTGGCTTAATCACAAGAAACAATAGACTCAAGGAACTAAGCCGAGGTTGCTTGCGGCCGAGGCAGTAGATTGTGTTAACCATCTTTGTAATCAAGGAGCCAAACCGAGGTCGCTTGCGGCCAAAGCATTACAATTTATATTATATAAACCGAAATTCCTATAATATACATATAGCAATGCTTCGGCTTAATCACAAAAAATAATAGAGTCAAGAAACTAAGCCGAGGTCGCTTGCGGCCGGGGCAGTAGATTGTGCTAACCATCTTTGGAATCAAAGAGTCAAGCTGAAGTCGCTTGTGACCGAAGCATTACAATTTATATCTTATAAACCCAAATCCCTATAATATACAGCAATGCCTCGGCTTAATCAAAAGAAATAAAAGACACAAGGAACTAAGCCAAGGTCGCTTGCGGCCGAGGCACCAGAATTTATATCATTTATACCCAAATCCCTATAATATATTTATATAGCAATGTTTTGGCTTAATCACAACAAACAATAGACTTAAGGAACTAAGCCGAGGCAGTAGATTGTGCCAACCATCTTTGGAATCAAGGAGCCAGGCCGAGGTCGCTTGCGGCCGAGGCACTACAATTCATATCATATAAATTCAAATCCCTATAATATACATATAGCAATGCTCCGACTTAATCACAAGAAATAATAGAGTCAAGAAACTAAGCCGAGGTCGCTTGCGGCCGGGGCAGTAGATTGTGCTAACCATCTTTGGAATCAAAGGGCCAAGCCGAGGTTGCCTGCGGCTGAGGCACTATAATTTATATCATATAAATTCAAATCCCTATCATATACATATAGCAATGCTCCGACTTAATCACAAGAAATAATAGAGTCAAGAAACTAAGCCGAGGTCGCTTGCGGCCGAGGCAGTAGATTGTGCTAACCATCTTTGGAATCAAAGGGCCAAGCCGAGGTTGCCTGCGGCTGAGGCACTACAATTTATATCATATAAATTCAAATCCCTATAATATACATATAGCAATGCTCCGACTTAATCANATATTTTCTTTGTATCGGGTGTTGTGTTCGTGATTGTCTACGTGTTTCAGCATCAAATCTTTATTATTATGAGTATACTCTAGACAGGAGCGTATAAAACAGCACGGCAAGGTAAGTATTTTTAATTTTTTAAATTGGCTTCTACAACTCTCTTGATTTTTTAGTCCAGCCAGTATCCGAACTGCCTTCTTTTGCATAACGAAAATGGCTTCCATCTCTCTAGATGCACCCCACGTAATGATCCCATACGTCGCGATAGCATGGAAATATGCGAAGTAAACGCTTCGGAATGTCTCGGGTGGAAGGTTTGAACGTATTGTTTTAAGGCAATACAGAGCACTAGACAGTCGCCCTTTCAGGTTTGATATGTGTTTAGACCATTTAAGAGTTTCTGAAATAGTAACTCCAAGGAACTTTATGGATTTATCTATCACTCCATCGCATCGTCTTGTGTGAAAGGTAAGTATGTTTGTTTTTTCTTTATTCATCTTTAACTTATTTATGTAGAACCAATGTTCAGCTTTTTCTATATTTTGTTTTGTTTTTTCTTCCAGCTCCTTGATGTCGCCACTTCTCGTAATAAAAGATGTGTCATCTGCATAAAGACAAATTCGTTCTGCTGGAACACTACCTGGTAAGTCATTGATATATATAAGGAAAAGTAATGGACCTAAGATCGAACCCTGAGGCACTCCACTTCTCACTTCTCTCCAGGTGGATTGTTTGCCCCTCCAAAAGACCGATTGTTTTCTAGTCTTCAGATATGATACCAAAAACCCCAGTGCAGTGTTCTTTATTCCATATTTTTCTAATTTGGCTGTCAGTATCGAATGGTCCACTGAATCGAAGGCTTTACTTAAGTCACAAAAGGCGATTTGGGTGAACTGTTCTTGATTGAAACCATGGATTACCGCTCCCAATACACTTAATAGAGCAGTTATAACAGATTTTTGTTTTTGGTAACCATGTTGACTTATATACTTTCCATAAGCTTCAATCTTCGCTTGATTTAATTCCTTTGCGTATTCTGCTTTTAATGTCTTGTATATTTCCTTCAAGTGGCTTTTCTTTGTTACTCTAATTACTGTGTACAAGGCGTCTAATTTATTCTTTAATAGTTCTACACTCAGTGTTGGCCATTTCAGATTTTTACCCCCAGTTGTTTTTTTAGCTTTCACTTCAGGGAAAGCACTCTGAAAGCTTTTCATTATGGCTGAGTGGAATATTGTAAAACAAGTTTGGGCGTCATTTGTTTTTAAATACATAGGGGCCCAGTTTATGTTTTTTAATAAAGTTTTGAATATTTCAATGTTTCTAGGATTTATTTTCCTACGTTTGATCAATATTTGATGATCTGTTTCAGGAACCAATTGGAAAGTTGCTATCTGTGCCAAGTGATCTCCAAGATGTAAATTTATTGTCTCCATATCAATAGCGTGGTTGAATCGGTCAAAAAATATATTGTCTACGCAGCGCTTCCCAGTTACTCTGGATGGACTGTTGAAGGTTGGACGTAGTCCGAACTCTGACATTGTTGCTAAGAAGTTATCTCTTATCATACTTGTTTCATTGTTTCATACTTTTTCCATCATCACGTTTTTGTCGCCTGCTGGAGGATGATAGACCCCAATTATTACAGTTCTCAATTTTGGTAGTAGCACGGAATAAACTTCAAAGCATCTTTCTTTATTGTACATAGAGACATCTAGAGTTTAAAAAATAATAGAATCCTTTACAATTATGATGACCCCCCCATGTGCATTTACCGTTGGTTGTCTACAGCTGTAAGCAGCCACGGTATAATTTTAGAAATATATTGACTGAACTTCTGTTTCTTTTAACCAATGTTCCGTAAAGCATAGTATATCATGATCAGCAGGCTTTTGCAAACTGTATTGTAAAAACATTTAAGTTTTGATTTATAAAAAATTCGAGCCTTGTTCATTCATAAAAATAGAATGTCGCTTGAAATCGAATCTACGAATACCTACATTGGCAGGCCAGAAATCTGGCTTGTATAGCTCATCTTTCCTATTGAACAAATCTTTTTAGTTGGTTTGGCTCACCAGGAAGTTCTTTGACAATGATTTGCTCATTATTGTAACCTTCCTTATCCTTTATGTATTTAATTATGTTTTCTTCTTTTGTGTTATTTCTTATTCTATATAAGTACAACCACACTCTTTTTTCCGCCCCTTGAAAACAAACATCTGTGGTTTCTGCTGTACCAAGTCGTTTTGGTTTTTGGGTTTTTCGTTTAGGAACTTGTTGCCATTCCCCATCATCTTTATTTAAATTAATTATTTTTTCTGTTAGAGTTTTAGTTTGCTGCTCGTGAAGAGCATTTTGAACTTCTACAGTAATTTGTCCTTTTTCGATTTTAGATAGTTGCGACAGGTCCTGTGGGTTGGTATCACTTACTACAGTTTTGTTTACAATACTAGCGGAGCCATCTATTGAATTCGTTTGCAATTTCTTTTTGAAGGTTATGTCTTCACCTACTACAGTTTTATTGTTTACAATACTTGTGGACCCATCTATGGAATTCGTCCGCAATTTCTTTTTATAGGTTACGTTTTTATTTATATTATTATTATGCCTTCCGTTATCCAAAAAGTTAATTTTTTCATATAATTCTTTTATCAGAAGGTTCTTCGCAGTGATTGTCTCTTCCTTTGCACAAATTTCTGCATTTTTTGCTTCGATTATTTGTTTGTATAGGGTTTCGATTTTACTTACTCCGTCCACATCTACTTCATCCGTTTTTTCACTTTTTCCTGCATCGCAGCACTTTATTAGACACGATTTTATTATTTTAGCATCTTTACATGCTCTTTCTCTACAGCCCGTATGAAAGGCTTCGCCGCAATTTATACACACAACGGTTTTTAGAGGTTTGTTTTTACAACATTTATAGGTAGCCTCAACTTCGTCGGCCATCTTTATTCTGATTCATATAAACCCAAATCCCTATAATATATTTATATAGCAATGCTTTGGCTTAATCACAAGAAACAATATACTTAAGGAACTAAGCCGAGGTCGCTTGCGGCCGAGGCAGTAGATTGTGTTAACCATCTTTGGAATTAAGGAGCCAAACCGAAATCGCTTGCGGCCGAGGCATTACAATTTATATCATATAAACCCAAATCTTCATAATACTACACATATAGCAATACTTCGGTTTAATCACAAGAAATAATAGACTCAAGGAACTAAGCCGAGATCGCTTGCGGCCGAGGCAACAGATTATGTTAACCATCTTTGGAATTAAGGAGCCAAGCCGAGGTCGCTTGCGGGCTAGGCTCTACAATTTATATCATATAAATCCAAATCTCTATAATATATGTATAGCAATGTTTCGGTTTAATCACAAGAAGTAATAGACTCAAGGAACTAAGCCGAGATCGCTTGCGGCCGAGACAATAGATTATGTTAGCCATCGTTGGAATTAAGGTGCCAAGCCGAGGTCGCTTGCGGGCTAGGCTCTACAATTTATATCATATAAATCCAAATTGCTATAATACAGGGTGTCACACAAAAAACGCCCCAAGCTGTAACTCTGTCATTTACATTCCGATTTTTATGAGCGGGTTATCAAATGAAATGGTTTGATGAATACCATGATTCATGCCATCTTCAATTTCTAGCGATTATCAACATTTTATTTTCAAATTGCTCGGTATGTTTTTCTTCA